TGAGGAGACTGAATCTGCCCTGGGCAGTCAGCGGGGAGACATTCCTGCCAAATCCAGGAGGGCTTCCTGGAGGTAGAAGGTTTTTGGGAAAGGGGCCAGGACTGTCCCTTGGTAGAGGGTCCAGCCCAGCAGAGCAGGGGCAGGAGTTGGTGGGCAGCTCTTCCCGGGACACTGGGCACTGTCCCACCCCCACCCCGCAGTCCTTCACCCACGGCTCCTTCCTTCACGTGCGCAAGGGCGCTCCCTCACTCCCCTGAGGCCAACACGGAGCCGGATACATAGCTGCCCAAGAAGTCCACACTAGACAAAAAACAAAAACTGGTTTTTATTCTAAGTGAGTACCCTCCATTGGCAAAGCTGGGGCCATTACACAGGGTCAGGCCTGTGGTCACCCGAGGGCCCCACTGTGCCCTGCCTTCTGCCTGGGTTGGGGGGGCTGGGATCCTTGGGCTGGGGGGGGCAGCTTTTCACCTCTGTGACCAGAGCCTCAGCCCCCACCTGCCCGTCGACCAGCAGCGACACGGCACCCTCCACCCGGCCTGTGGCTGCCAGGGCCACCACTGCCTTCTCTGTGGGGAAGCCCATACGTTGCAGCTGCTGCAGCCTGGGGGGGAAGCAGAGAAAGGGGTCAGGCTATCCCCTGCCTTCACAGGGGGCCCTGCCCCCTCCCCACTGCCTTACCGAAGAGAGGAGACAGAAGACTTGGGCAGCCACAGTGGGCCCTCGGGGCCCAGTCCTGGCCCGTCCAGGAGCGAGGCCTGCAGCGCCTCCTGCAGCATCTGTTCATCCAGGGCCGCCCACAGGGGGGTCTCCGAGGGGAACCTGGGTCCAGCCCAGGCCAGGCCTGCCTCTAAGGAGCCCTCCCATGGGGGCTGCAGGGCCTCTAGGTCTAGTGGGAGAGATCTGGAGGCTTCGCTGCCTGGCCAGAGGCTAGGGGAAGCCACTGGTGGTGGTCCAGCTGCTGGAGGCCTGAAGGGGCAGAAGAGGAGCCTGACTTCAGCCACGGCCAGTCTCCCTGTGCTGGCTGCTGTCCTCCGACCCTCCATGGCACCCTCCTGCCAGGCAGCCTCACCTGGCTCCCGGTAGGTGGCTGGTGGGCAGTTCAGCCAAGCAGCCCGGGGCGGGCAGGAGCCTCAGCGGCCAGCACCCCACCAGGGCTCTGCACACAGCGCCCTCCTGCAGTACCTGCAGCCGCCGCTCCGACAGCTCCAACCACCGGAAGGCCCCTGCGGCATCTGTCTGCCCAGGGCAGGGCGCTAGTCAAGGAAAACCAGACCAGGTGTGTGGTGGACATCCCCTGGTGTCTCACTTGTCCCTGGGGGGACAGCAGGGAGGCTCAGAGAGGGGACAGCCCTGCATGAGATTATTCTGCCAGTGAGAAGCTGGGATGTGCCTTCAGCCCTGCCTTCCCCCACCCACTGATGGACACTGTCACCCATCCAGGCCAGCCTACTGCCCCCACCCCCTAGGATTCAGGGAGGCCTGAGAGGTGCCTGCCCTGAAAAGGAGAATGACCCTAGGGGGTCGACTGCCTCTCCTTCCTCCAACAAAAGCCACCACGAGTCACACGAGACTCCTCTTGGTTCCCAGAACCATCACCTACTGCACCCTCTTCAAGCGGGGGTGGGGGAGTGGGGGGGGCGGCTTCTCTCCTTGTGCTATCTCCACTGGCCGTGCACTCCTCAGCTCAGAGTCCCATTCATAGTTCCTGGAAGGTGTGCAGTGCTAGGGCCTGACCCCACATGCCACTTCCTCCCACAGACCCTGGGCCCAAAGAGGATACAAGCCAGGCCAGCGAGCAGGCCACAGAGGAGCTGCAGGAAGGGCGGTTCAGAGCTGAGTAGAGGGGTCAGGCTCAGCAGCAGCCACGGTGCCAGCCATGGTGGCAGTGCCCCCCGGGGCTGTCGGGGGCAGTGACCCTGGCCTGCCAGCATGGCCAGGTGGATGGGCATGTATCCACAGCCGCCAGCTACCCTGGGCACCCCCAGGCCCGCCAGCAGCATGGCCAGCAGCCCAGTGGCCAGGGCAAGCAGGACCACGGTGTGCAGGAACCGCAGTGAGCCCACGCGGTGCTCCTGCTGCCAGCCGAGTATGGCCAAGAGCAGCAGGCTCAGGAGCAGGCCCGGGAGAGCAGTGTGGCCCAGGGCGTGGGTCAGCAGCCGGTGCACTAGGAGAGAGACGGGATCAGACTCGTTCCCAGCCCCAGCTTCGAAGGCTGCCCCAGCTCTGTCAGGTGGGGTCACCCTCCAACAGTCACCCGCCAAGCCAGTCTCCCCTCTAGGAGCCAGGGTCTTAATCACAGCCAGCCCTTCATCAGGATCGGGCCAAGAGACACGATGGCCGGAGCCTGCTGTGGTACTGAGTACTCACTGTGCCCACTGCAGGGCAGAGAGGCACCTGTTTACTGAATCCTTCCATCCTGGACTCCCACCCGTCCTCAGCTGTGTGACCCTGGGCGATCACCTGGCATCCCTGACCTAGTCATGTGTGTTTTTCAAATGTAGATTGTGTTACTGGGAAATCAACACACACACCACCACCCCCCACCCCCCAAGCCCACTGCCATCAAGCCAAAGACGGAATATAGCGGCTCCCTAGGATTTCAGAGGCTGTAAACCTATGGGAGCAGACAGCCTCCTCTTTCTCCCACTCACCCGGAGGCCTAACTTACTTCGCTGTGAAAGGGAAGCTGAGAGGAACTCCTACCCACCCTGCTGGCCATCGGTCTAGGCTCAGCTGGGCATGCTCCCACCCAAGGGAGGCCTTACCACGCACACTGCAGGCCTCCCTCTGACTACCACTCATCTCCCTGCTCCCATCTCTGCCTCCACCACCTCTCCTGGCCTCCCTCAGAAGTCGTCCTGGCCAGAGTGACCAGGGATCTCCCATGCCAGGTGTGATCCAGACCTCTGCCACGCCCATCCATCTGACTTCCACCCAAAGTCACTTCTGATGTGCTGGGTCCAGAACCAGACTCTCTTTGCCACCAAACCTGCTCCCTCCAGGGTCTCCCATCCATCCTTCTGGTTGCTCAGACCCTAAACCACCTATCCCTTTCCCTGCCACCTGTCAATCCTATCAGCTGTCCTCAAGACGTATCTGCAAAGTCACCCCGTGCCACAGCCAGGCCATTATCTCACACCAGAATCCTTGCTTCCACCCCTGCCCCCCTTCAGTCTATTCCTCACCCATAGATGGGTCATGTGGCTGCACTACTCAAAGTCTCAAAGTCAAGCCCCTACACCCTCTTAGCCAACTGACTCCCACCCCCTCCTTGCAGCCCCCGCTCTGCATGTGGGGCCTTTGCTGCTGTTTCCCCACCTAAAATGCCCTGCCCGACCCCTGCATGGCTGGTCAGTGTCCTCGGCCCCTGCAGGGCTCTGCTCCATGGCACCCTCTGGAACCGCCCAATCACTCTCTGTCCCCAACTTAGCTTCATTTGCTGCCCAGCACCCATCACCCTCTGATCTAGGCCTTCTCTTGCTCAAGCCTTGTCCATTCACTTATTCAGATGGCCAGCACCATGAGAACAAGGCCTGGGCTCTGTTCCTTGCTGCAGCCCCAGGACTGAGAAACGTGTGTATTTAGTAGATGCGCGATGACGATTTGCCAACTGGGTGAATGGACGTGTGCCTATCAAAATCTGCTCTGTGTTACAGTCACTCAGGAGCCTTCAATGTCCTCGATAAAGGAAGTGCTACTAACAGGGCCCCCAGTTTGCAGGTGAAAAGCTGAGGTCCCAAGAGAGCAAATGAGTGGTCTCAGCCCCACTGTAAGTCTCCCATGGGGTCCTCACCCTGCCTGGGTTCCTGCAGCAGCTCTGGGGCCAGGGTGAGGCTGGGGCCAGCCCCCGCCAGCCACAGGACAATCAACAGCAGCATCAGAGTGGAGGAGGTGAGAGGCAGGGCTGGGAGCCAGGGGCGCCTGTGGCATGCATGCCAAAAGTGGCCAAGAGTGGTCCTGGGGCTGTACGCTGGCCGCAGAGGAAAAGGGGAACACAACAGCAATGATTACTATCACAGCCCTGCTCTCACTGACTCCCACCCACCCTACCCACGAAACCATTTAACAGAGGTGGAAACTGAGACGAAAGAAGCTTGGCCAGAGCAGAGCTTAGACCCTTCATCCATCTGCCTGCTGGCCTGGAAGGGTGGCAGGGACTAGGCTCAAAGGGCCCCAAGCTCTGTTTGTGGGAAGGAGATAGGCTTAGGGAAGCTGAACTGGGCTCTGAGTTCCCATAAAGAGGGGTGAAGCAGCCCAGGGCAAATTCAATGCCATCTCCAGCCATCCTCTGGCCCCGCCTTCCTCACATTGGCTCTCTTGTTGGTCAGCCTCCTTCCTTTCTCCCAGCAAATGTGCCCAGCCTTAAAGCTCCAGGCCCTTGGGCTAAGATGCCCTTGACTCAGGAGACAGGATCTGCAGGGAAGACATTGCAAAGCGGGCCAGTGAAGTGCCACTGGCTTCATCACAGCCTCTTTCTCTCTCTCCCTCTTTCTCTCTCTCTCTCCAGGCTCACGCTCCCTAGGAATATCAGGCTCTGCTGCTCTCTTCTTGCTGGTCTTCCTGACAAGTCTGTAGAATGGGGATTAAGAAAATCATTTCCTCACAAACTGTTAAGAAAAATGTATGGCTAAGGCAGGGCCTGCCTCTTGGCTCCTGCTCAATTTAGTGTGCCAAACCCCTGGCCAACCAGACTGGCAGTCTAAGCCATGGTCCTCAAACACATGTCTGTTTCTTGTCCACAAGGCAAGGCCTTCTCTCCCATTCTCTTCTTTCTCAGCCAACCTGTTGTGTGTAGCCTGGGCCCCCAGTCTCTTGTGGGGCAGGAAACAGGTCCCCAGAGAGACAAGACTGCCTCACTTTGAGGCTCCTTTGCCAGGGACACCCTCAGCGTCAAAACCCACCTGCCAGCGTTCAGTAGGAAAACTATAAGAGCTCCTGTTCTTGCCATGTCCTTCCTTCCATCGCTCCCAAAGGAAAACTCCCATTCATCCTTTGAAGCTCAGCTCAAATGGCCCCTTCCCCTTTTCAACATAGATGGTGTCTATCCTACGAGCTCGGGTTGGCCTTTTTTGTCTCTGAAGGCAAGTGTACTGAGCTACGGTGGGGACTCCCTTCCTCACCCCCGAGTTTGCAGGAGGCATTCCTGTTGTGTGCTCACTAACAGACATCAGCTTGACTCTGGTTCTACTGAGGGGTTTACAGAGAACACTGCCCCTTACTGAGCTTCAGTGCCTACCCAAGGGGCTGGGCTCAGCCATCTCCGAGGTCCTGTCAAGGAAAGCCCTCCGATGCTAGCTTTGCCCACGGCTGGACCTGGTGCCAAAGCTTCCACTACAGCGTCTCGCTGCTCGCTCCCAGAGGCACTGTAGGGAGAGTGACGGGCTTGCCCCCAGAAATCCAGAACTAGGACTTGAACCCCCTGGGCCTCAGTTTATTCTTCTACAAAGTGGGGCTGTCCACCCTCGGACCCTGTCATTTACTGGGAAGCCAGAAGAGCAGAATAGGGCGCTGGGCAGGGAAGATTCTTGCCGGTGGAGAAGTGTACGCGTGTTTGTAGGAAGGGGTGAGGGCGTGGACCCGGGGTCTGGATAAGGCTCAGCTTTGTGACTCTGGGCAAAGTACCAACAACGTCCTTAAGTCTCAGTTTCCCCTGCTGCGAAAAGACATGGACATAGAATGAAAGCTCGACCGTTATTGAGGTTCTCGGCGTTCGGGGCCACCTACCCCCCACCCCCGCCCCGTTGACACACCTCAACCCCCTCCCCGCGCCGCCCG